GCGGTGGTAGAGATGCGGCAGGCAAAGAACCACGGTGGTTGGTGGTTGCGCTCAAGGAGGCTGCATGTTGATTGTACCACTCTGTTGAGGTGTTGTGTTGATGCCCTAGTCTTTTTTTAGCGTGCCAGAGAGAGAGAGAGAGAGAGAGAGAGAGAGAGAGAGAGAGAGAGAGAGAGAGAGAGAGAGAGAGAGAGAGAGAGAGAGAGAGAGAGAGAGAGCGAGAAGCAGAGACAACGAGCAAGCAAGAGGGCGGACACGTCAAAGGGGGGCTTCTTCTATTCTAGTGGTTTGCCAGCCACAGGAACTGCCTGGCATGAAGTCTTTTCTTTCAGCACGATGGATGCATCGTTTCTTCAAGAGAGAGCAGCGCAGAGACAACGAGCAAGCAAAAAGGGCGGACACATCAAAGGAAGCCTTCTATTCTAGTGCTTTGCCAGCCTCAGGGCCTAGCTGACAATTCGTTGAGTCTCTAGCTGACAATTCGTTGAGTCTCTTGGTTGGTTCCTGTAGAGAAGAGCTCAGAGACAACGAACAAGGAAAGAGGGCACAAAAAAGAAGGGTTCTCATAGTGGTTTGCCAGCACCAGCAACTAGCCGACAATGCGTTGAGTGTCTTCATTGATTCCTTGTAGCTTCATCATTGCTGTGCGTCGATTCGAGGATGGATGGGAGGAACATTAAAAATCATTTTTTACTGGGTAGAAAGGTAGGGAAAAGCTTGGGTCTGATTTTTTACTGCAACCTCGACGTAACAGCTTGCTGCTTCAGCACCACCTACGTACCTCGAAGCGTTGATTGGGTACGTATGGTATGCAATGGAGATATGGTTAAAGCCGGGTACGTATGGTATGCAATGGAGTAGGTATTTTTTTTGGCTCTTCCTGTTGTTGTAATGAGTAAGTGCTCCAAATCTCTGGGAGGCTAGGTTGAGGGGATACCTGTTGGGGTATGTCTGGGGGGTGGGGGGGGGGGCATGGCGAAGTCTTATGTGGTACAAGTATATCTGATGTATCTCGGGGATTCCGTGGCGAAAATTTTACTCGTACTGTCGTTATCTTAGTTTTTTTTTTTTTGGGGGGGGGGGGGGCGCGGGGCACGCTCTGCCTTTACATGTCTGTATATCGGGTATCATAGGGATAAAAAATACAACAGCATGGCTGTGTAACCTGGTAATTTGTGCCCCCCTTCCCTCTTGAAAGTATTATTACGTGTTACGGTTTC